CTCAACGAAGCTTACAAGTTTCATTTGTGACGGCATTCGTACGTTGCCAGAAAGGTGACGTAAGGTCATAGAAACCAGTGGACAATATTTCCAACATGAAGTTCGCTGGCCTCTAGTCTTTTACATTAAGTGAATTTGCTGAAACATCGGAGAAAATTAAGTCACAAACTTAATGAAATGCCCTTTAAATCAGCAGGTTGGGTAATTAAACGATGCATTGCGTGGGGTTTTTCACGAAATCATGTGTGCCAATCCCATTAGCGAAACGCGAACGTCCAGTGAAATGACATGTTGAATCAGCACGCACTTTGGTTGGCTTTCACTGCGGCTGCAGATATTCTCACCAGGATGCGAAACGCACCGATTTCCCCTAGCTGCGCGTGCACCCACGAGATTGTTGCGTCTAGCACTGTGGTGCGAAGGTTGCTGCTGCTGGAGTTGTGCCGGTGTCTAATAGGTACTTAGCAAAAGAGGCATCTTTCACATGCTCTTTTGTCAGGGCATAAACTGCGAAAGGCAATCGCTCAGGCAGGTTTTTTGGTGGAGCAAAGATTTTCTCAAATGCTTACTCACACCATCACCTGCATTCTCACGGGAGCGCCGTGGCATTTTCTGTTTGGATTTGCGCATGAACAGCCAATTGGCAGGCTAACGCTTCCTACGTGTTTGTGTAGGCCAGCTTACCCGATAGGCACCAAGTACTCAGCTGGGTGCTTATTTGAAGGTAGTCTTGTAATGGCAGAAATGGGGATGTCCATTCGCCAAATAGGGTTCTTCTGAGCATGCCCTAACCCTGAAGTACTGCTCTCGCACACACACACACACCCACAGCGACGCAGCTGAAATACAGGCTTGCATTCTTCCAGGCATGATTTTACACCATAATCAACAGTTCATCAACACCAAATATCCATCAATCTCTGTAATTTTAAAGTGCCTTATACTTTTGAGGTTGTCGGCAATGCTCCAAGCCGAAGCTTACGAAGAACCTTCAAATCTGACGGGACTAAAGATCACGTGTTTGCTTCTACAGTTCTTACTTTATATCGTAATTGGGATAAGTTTAACGCTAAATGGCACACATAGCGTCTTCTGGTGACGTGATGAGATTTTTTGTTAGTCGCTCTTTAAACCGCGAAATTTAATCATATTGATGTGACAACAGCCAAATGCCGACAAAAACATCCTTCTTGTGTGTTGATGAGCGAAATTCTTAATATTTTAATGTGTTTTACATCTTAGAGGGTTACGTTGAGCAATTTGGTTGATGGGATGTCATTGCCGTCAAGTCAACGCATATCCAGTAACCTATCAAGGCAACGGTTACCATGGTTTTGAAGGACGTACAAACCATGAGTGGATGTTGATCTCGAGTGAAATTTGGCGGGGCAATTAATCTATGAGCTACAAAGTTGCGAGTTATTGTGCTCAGTAAATGGGGCAAATGGATGAGGAGATATGGCGAGAGATTTCGTGCTCTCGCGAGGGAGAGAGAGAGAGAGAGCGATGAGAACGCAAAAAATTTCTCGATTCAATGGCGGCACGACGTCTAATAAATTGTTTTACTTCGTTTGTAACGCGTGCGCTCGCGCACACACACACCCACACAATAGCCACAGCGGCGCAGGCCAGTGCGCAAGAGAACACCTGTCTTACAGAGAGGCAAACGGCACGTATTTTCAGGGCCACTGAGCTGCGCGTCTTGACGATGAACGACGACGACGACAACGACGACGATGCGAGACGCCTGCAGGCGTGTGCGTCCTCGCGCACGCGCGCGCGCGCACACATGCACGACGGTTCTCTGACAAGATCAGTCCGAGCGCGCGGGGTGCGGTCGTGCGCCCAGCCGAATGGCACTTCAAACGGAAGTGCCGCCGCTGCCGCCGACCCGGCCGTTGTTGCGCAAAAAAATTAATTTCGCGCCCACCTACAGTGGCGCGACCGCCTTTCAACACCAATGCAATCAACGTGACAGTGTCCTGATTTGATGTTGCCTTTTTGTGTCTTTAGATGGACGTTTCACTGCCCCAGACGGTCAGGGATTGGTCTACACTGGGGCGTCGACCATGGTGGATCAGGCGGTAACCCAGTCACCGCCTAATGATGTCAGGAAGCTGGATCCCTTCAACCGTGGTTCAAAGGATACTTCTCGATCGTCGCCGTCTAACAGCTCGGAAGGTGGTGTAGCTGCACACCAGCTACCGCTACTGTCAGTTCAAGGCGCCGAAGAGCAAAATATGCATGAAAAATATGAAATGTCCACAACGCCCAACGCAGGCACACAATCATCGACTCCCCATGTTCCCGGCCTCTTTAGCATTCGTCGAGCAGTCGGTCTTTCGCGCACTAACCTTCCATTCCCAGCTAGGAAACGCCTGTTCAGTTGGCTAGTCGAGCATCTTCGTGAACCGTATCCTTCTGAGGAGGAGAAAATGATGCTTGCAATGGAGACTGGACTATCGCGGACCACTGTCAACAACTGGTTTATTAACGCCCGTCGGCGTTACGTGAAACCCCTGATGCAAGGACGACTGGTTCTGCAGTCCGGAGTCTTTAAGACGGTGTCTGGCGAAAGTGCAACTAACAAGTCGTCGAGTTCACCACCTCACCCACCAGCTTCTTCCACCTCCGCCTCCTTCCAGAGCACCGACAACGGTGGTGGACAGTTCGCCTCACAGCACCAATTCTCGTCGGCGTCAAGAATGAACCTCCACCAAGAAGGCATCTTCTCCCCGCCACAGCATCTAGGTGGAGTCACCAACAGTACCGCCTTGTCGGCAATGGCTGCCGCAGCAGTCGCCTTTGCTGGAGGTCCGCGTTCTTTTGTCGAGAACGGAGGGGATGTCAAGCATAGTAACCCTCGACCTACTCACTTGCCCTGGCAAACAGTCCAAGGCATCGATCTCGGTAGCTCAAAGCGCTGTCGAAGAACCTCCGATCTTTCCACCTCGGTTGATGCAGCATCGCGGTACGCACAAAAGTCCACAGTCCACGAAAAGCCGCCAATTAAAGGAGAAGTATCCTGTGAATAGTAGACGCTGGTTTTAGCTCGCACAAGACCCTCCTATTCGACTTTATTCAATTTCATTGGTGTGCGCGGTTGTTTGTGTACAGCATATACAAGTACTTTTCTTGCACAAGTGGGGAATTTGAGAAGAGACTTCTGAACCGGTTGAAAAGGCACACCTCCGGCAACCCCCCCCCACCGGCGCTCCCAATTCCCTCAATCTGCCTCCCCACAAGTCAAAAGTTTGCTTTCCCTCGGATTCGGGCAGTCTGGGGATTTGAATCCATCTATATTTACATTTCGTTGTTCGAAATATAACGAGAAATGGGTTTTCCCAGAGACTGATTTCTGTAGACCAAGGTTGCTTAAATACAGTGGGACATTATGCGAAGGCTCATCTGACATTAAAAGTTAGTTTTTAAGCAATGATTTGAAGTGAATTTGAGTCCAAATACACGCCACATTGCATTGACAGTGCGGATTCGTAAAATTCACTGATACCACTAGAAATTAGAATTAGATGAGAGGTCGGAAGTCGTAAGACGCATTAGTTAGAATTTACAATATCACAAGTAAATTAAACATGCCTTAGTAGGCCGCTAAGAAAGTAAGTGAGCCAAACTTGATGTGCATTTGATTGGTTGATAACGGAGGAAGTGATGTACGTGAGGTACGCATTATCCGTAGCTAAGTAAGTACACCAAATACTGCAAGAATCTGTTGACGATGTCCAGCTTTGTATAAACAAGTACTTATACGAACAGCCGGCATGATTTAAGCGGACACATTAAGCGGTCGGAGTTCAGAACACAACGTTCCCCTGGAAAATCCGGTTGACATTATTTGGTCGAGCTCATTTACGCCGCGTGAAGTCCCTTCAAGGAAGAACCACTCTGACAACCGTCAAGATCTGCTGATTTACTGTGGCTGGGAGAAGGAAGACGCTGACTGGAGGTTGTCTATGGGCGAAAAAGGGGTAACATCGAAGACTGTTATGGGGTTGGCCGCGAGTCACGCTTAGCGTGGTTTCATGTGAATGTGAGACCACTGTAACGTGTTCCACACAAAGGAGAACGTGTTTGTGGATGATACTCACGTGATACGAACCACGCAGAACTACGCAAATGACTGTTTCCATCTACTGGAGAGAATTAATCTTAAATTGCCCTTGCCGTCCGTATTCCTGTGATAACCACACCGACCTTCTAAATAAGCCTCTAAGGATCTTCCATTTTTTGAAGTACTGAATAGTGATGCTGCCAACTGCTTTTCAAGTCTTGAACTGTTGTCAGAAACACTAAACTCCTAGGATGAGAATGATGTAGGCTTTATGAAACTGCTGACACTTAAACATCGCCAGGTAATCTGAAATAAAACGAAGCCTAGACAGTGATAGTTTGTAAGCAAAGCGCTATCCAGTGGGGCAATAACCATGGAATCGCAGTTTCATTGGAAAGACGTTTACATTTAAACGGACGTGTTCTGTTTAACAAGGGCACTTGTGACGGCTGTACGACGAGGTCTGTTAGATTTGGTAATACAAAGTGGCGCATCGTTTTACATACTTATTGGATAACCCCTAGAGATTGTTCTTAAAATAAGATGGTAGTCTCTGTCATTGTGTGTTAGAATGGCCGGCAAGGAAGAAGATGAGCAGCCAAACATAGACAAATATGGATACGATGCGGAGCTTATGAGCGGTGCAGCAAGCGTGTTGCGGACTCAGATGGACGGTGCCTACGAATGATCGATAAAGCCTCTTCTGTTTTTCCAGTCTTCTTCATACTAGGGCTCGGGTATTCTACAACTGATGCCGACTTCCAGCCGTAGACGGCCAAACGGGTACAAGAGCGCATCCCAGGTCAATAACCTAACTTTGGAGCATGCCACAGTGAAACGACTGAGGTTCTACAACACTTACGATGCAGAAGAGAAGCACAACCCCGAGATGCGTTGAGCATCAGTTGGTCAAGAATGGGTCGTTCTACCCAATGAGCTTACTGGTGTTCTTTCGATCACCCGTTCGAGGGGATCCTGAGGTGGGTCTTGAACCACGGTTTGGTCAGTAGGGCGAAAGAAGATCAACTATGACAAGGAACCTAGCAGTTTGTTGCCACACTGTCGTCAATTTTGACAATATGTCACTTTATGTTTGTTGAAGTGCTACCTCTGACTGACATTTAAATCACTGACCACAAATAACAGCACGAGAAGTTAGCAGATATCGATTACTCGAAACCACAAATCGATTTTTTGACTTTGCCAACGCCTAGTAAAACCACTCGGAAACTATCCTTAGGTAATCGAGTTGGGACAACAAGAATCTGGACACTATGTTTTGACACGGTTTTACAATATTACTGGGTGGGATCTCTCCTCACAAGAGTCGAAGTACTCTAGATCTCGTAGATTCGGAGATTGTAGTCGGGGTTCTAGGCGTGGTTTTGTATCTCCCATGGTTTGTTGAGTGGTCCTATTAACCACTCAACTATCGGGCGCGCTAGTGTTGTGCGTCCTAACGTTAAGCAATGACTTCGAGAGACGCAGCAACATTTTCTGAATACCTACTGATGATTGTTAGTAAACTGTTAATTAAATAAAATTTACCTGGATGATATGTATCTGATCGGCGTCATCAGTGTCATCTATTATGTTTAGGGCAAAATTCTCCTTACCGGAGACATAATTGAAGGTCAGAAAAAAAAAATTCAAGATCACATTATATCCCACTCATACCATCCCAGCAGGTTAAATATTGATTAGTTCTACTCATAAAGACAATTAAATTTAAGCAATAGGTCCAAAAATATAGCATATACAAACACGGACCCACACTAGTTCTTCACAGCCCTCTGTTTAACTTAAACTTGCTGCGTCGTCCTACACCTAGACGACTAGGAGTCCAACGAATTTCAGGCTGTTCGTCCTTCTCAGAACTCACTAAGTTTGAATGACTCATGTTGAATTTTGATTTCGCGTCCGTGTCATCACAAAAGTGGTGCTTATTTCTAGCTAAACTTGATCACCCGACAAGTCCAGTACACCGCAAACACTTTAAGTTATTAATAATTTTCGAATTCCGTGTCTTGGTGATAGCATCCGGGGCACAGTGACCTTGGAAGTCGTTTGAATTCGTGTTGAAAAAAAATCATTTTAAAAACAGACCTTGTTACCTCAAGGTAAATACGACTTCAATTTACTGTGGCTCCATTGGCGATCCTACAGTGCTAAATCTGGGGAATATCGATCGGTTTTTGAGTCTCGCGCCAATAAAAGTAAACAGGAAGTGTGGGTGAAGGGTCGACGTGGGTATCCATGTGATTGTGATTTACTCTTGACAACTTTGTGCTTTAGTTAATGGCCTCTCGACCCCGCCAACAACCGATTCGTGCTCTCAAGGCCATCTGCGGTGTTGTTTAAATGAATGATTTAGTTTAGCTTAAGTGGGGAAATAAAGTACTGGCGACAGTGCCTGTTGTGCACGAAAAGGCAAGAATTCAGGTCAAATCGCCCTGATACGCTGCCATTGTCATTTTGTATGCAAAATGAGCCCAGTGGTGCCTGAGAATTTTGTGTCTCAAGGGTTTTACGATGAGCGTGATTGTCGCATTGGCGTTGTCATTACCAGCAGTTCATCTGACACCAAAATTGTCAAAGCTTGAAACAGATAGCAGACCAACTGTAAGAAAGTTGCACCAGTAGGCAATGCTACGAGTTTGGTGTGGTCTCCTGTGTGATGCATTTGGATGAGAGCAGAATGCGTGTCAAGCAAACACACCCAGTAGCGCAACCACCTTACTGACACCCGAGGAAATTCTGCATATTTTTCGAAAGAATTTTTCTAGAAATATTAATGGTAAACTTACATACTGTATTCCCAAGTAACCCAAAAAACTGAAGTCGTGCACTCATCACTTTTAAATGCGGCAGCGTAAAATGGAACCTGGAATTCTCTTAACTATATCAACTTTTTTAGCACCAAAATACTACTTATTTGACAGTTAAATCAACCACGGTGATTGAATCATTCGGAAGTACTTTTCTAAGGAAGAAAATTGTCTTTGGGATGCAGTACACCCTCTCAATCAAACCGCGGTAATTTCCGGTTGACGACCAAACTTGTAAAGCCTTCGGGGTCACCAACGAGAAATATTTCTGCATGAGTTTAAAATAATTGTGGCTGATTTTGCTTGGTTTGTTAGACGCACTCAAATTTGACTGAGATTTACCAAATCTTACCAGATGGATACATCAACTCGTTTTAGCGGAAGGCGACATTGCAGCCTGCTTAGGGTTGGTTTCTAAAAAATCATGGTCATTTTATTTGGGGCTTCAGAATGCATTAAATTTTGAAGTAAACCCAGTTATTTTGAGGCTGGTTTAACTTCTTCTAGGGTTTTTACTATACGCAGAAAATCTGATTAAATTTATCAGCTCTTTCGTAATGACTGCATGACATGAAACTTGCAGCTAAATGCCTGGTTGCTTGTGCGCTGAGTGAAGTTGGAATTTACCACAATAGAGTCCGTCTATGTGCGAGGGAATATGTGATATTTCTATCACTCTAGTGATTTTGTGCTTACGACAGGCGTGAGAAACGATTCAATTCGACTGTTTTGCCGACACGAAGTTGTAAGTCCTTGTTAATTTGAGAACAGACAATTATTAACACCTCATGGGAACTACAGACAAGTCTGGCAATGAGAAGGTTAAAGGCGTATTTTCGGATGACGAATGGTACCACTTGTGCCAAATACCGCGCCATACTAGGGCGCAGACATATTGGCACATGCTTAGCTCAGCCAATTCTCTGTCTTTGTGCCTCTGAATAAAAAAGGAGCGGCGCAGCCAGTATAGTAGACTCGGTTAATCAACAAAGCCTGCTCTGTTATACCTGTCTTCTTCATACTAGGGTTCGGGTACTCTACATCAAATCGTCACTGAAACTCTGCATGCTAGGCCCTTAACCAAAGGCTCTACTGAGTATCCAATGAGGATTCCGTTTTGCCACACCATATGGCATTGTTCCACAGACTCTGACATCAAGCCATTTGTGCCTCGCACTCTCTCGTCTTCATAATCCTCTCGGAGATCTGTTTAGCGTAATTCGTCCCCTTGTGGTTTGAAACTACATCTCGAGACCATCAAAAATCGAAGGGGCAAGCAAATTATTGCTAATGTTAAGTTCAGATTTTACAAAAAAAGGTGATGGCAAGATTTCAGAAGACGTCGTGTCTTTGCTTGTCAGAGACTTTGGCTTCCTTGGTCACGCTATTTATTATCGTGAACGATGCCAATTATAAAACCATGAGGGCTTCCCTTCGTCAGATCCCCTGAAAAATAATGAGCTTAAGACAAAAAAGTATTCTTGGACAAATAGGTCTGAACCAAACAGGCATTCCACTTACCGTCACACTGCGACTTGCGATCTCAATGACCGTCACACAAGTACTGTTTAATGCCACCGTTTTCCTGATTTTAGTCGAAGAATCTTTGAGATAATTCAAAAACAAACTGGAGATGTTGTTGTAGTTAATTTCACTTACCTTATTTCATTCAAGCTACGAAGCGCTTTCATTAGAATTATCAAGTTTGAATTTAATCCTAATGTGAGCTTAGTCATAGTGACATTTGAATACACGGACAGTTTCCTGCATGGAAGTACTTCCTTGAATATGAAGCATTAATTAAAGTCTCCTGCCTGTTTGTCTTCGTGGAATGCTCAGCCCCTGCTCTCAATGGACGCAACACGGGGATCGCAAGTGTAGTGGATCGTGCTGGTTCACGTCCACTACCCCGGTTGTCGCTCTCTCCGCCACACCGACCTCCTTCCCACGGTGTCGCTACCGTTCGTGCTGAACCGTCTGCCTGTGTGCGTGTACCTCCCCAACGTCGCTCGCCTCATTCCCTGGCCAGTCAGGTATGTGTACTTTTACGGATTCATCCCATCACTTAGGTACGACTTTTTGTGCGCAGCGGCAAGCTGGGCTGTCGAATGAACGGTTCTGTGTAATCCCCTGTACTCATTTTCGCGGGCATCAGTGTACGGTAACCGGGCCAAATCCTATACAAGCCCAGGCCTCCAACAAGCGTCACATTGTTAGTTCGAATAGAGCTGGAAGATATTATATCGTCCAATAGATTTAAAGTACGTTAAAATTTTCAAAGAGTGGCAAGCACAACTCCAACGATCGAAGCTTTCATTCGAAGGCCTGAAATTTCGTCGTTATTTTTTTGGGAAAAAACCTGTTATGGGCCCCAGCATGTGGTCTTGAACCACGCCGTGGGCACGGAATTAACCCTGGCCCGATTACGTTTCCCTGATATCCGCGACAGAAAGATCGGAGAGGACGTGGACACGACCGCTTACCTCAGAGCGCCACCACGTTGGTGTCGTATCGTGTGTGGGGTTTGCGCGTGTGCATTTATACCTCGCATGTGTGAGTTATACATGCGCCAACATCGAAACCTAGGTGTGAGGATAATCCAAGATAAATATCCGTGTGAATGTGTTGGGGATCCACGATTCCCCAAGATTGGTTTCTGATTTTATTTACATTAATTTATTAACCTTTGTTTTGTTACGCTTTTATCAAGTGAAGGTCAACCTTGACTTGAGATAGCTTTCAATTTACTTTCGATTCCACTTCTTCTCTGCACGTGGCTCACGTGAATAAAGCTCTCTACTCGAGCTCTGGTCTTGTTCTGGTATTAGCCTGGGAGGTCGGTTCTAGCTTTCAGCGAGTGATCTGGTACCGTTATTTGAGTGGTATTCTCTATTGTTACGGCCAAACGTAACAGAATGAGGGGGTAGTTGGGGCTCCGCGCGGCTGGTGACATGCTGTGAAAAGGGGAACCCTGTGTCGGAGGTGGAGCGACCGGATTAAGGCAGGTGAATAAATACGATCCAGAACAAACCGGTTAGCTTATCTATCTTCAAACGAGTGCTCTATGGTCCTACACACAGGCTGCCACCAAGCATAGATTAAACGGAGTTATAAAGGTAAAAAATGTGACAGAAATTATTAAAAAAATAAAAGGTTACTGACTGTGACCAATCGAAAGCGTTTGCAGTAAAAATTACTGAACCTGATTGGCGAAGTCGCATTTAAGCGAATGAGACAAAACTATCCTCAACTCTGATTTCTTATTGAGTAAACCCAACGATCGAAATGGATAGTAAAAAAATTTAGGAAACTGACGATGGCTCCGATCAGGAACCTCATAATTTGCTCTGATGCTACGACTGATAAAAAAATGTACTATTAATAAACCAGTTTTGCCAGAATAAATTATGGGCATGGTTAAATCTTGTCTTGACATGGACTTTGAAGTTCATGCGACCTCAACAGACAGAACATTAATGCCATGGGAATTTTATGTCAGGGTTAGACAGGTTGAGGCTTGACTTCTGCACAGAAAGGTCGTCGGTAGAAATAATGGCGTTGGTTCCAAAAATACATTTTAAGGTGGAAAGGAATTGGTGATTCCGTCAGCAAACTCACTCGTTGGAGAGACCTCGTGTTACCACACGTATGAAGGCCAGACCACAACTGAAGTTGACAAGTAGCTTTGATCAACATTGTGTACCACAACTTTGATTTGCACCAGAAAAAAAGATAACAATGTCATTATTGTCCTCAAGAGAACGTTTTTTGCGTCCTTTAGATCAACAACTACTTCCAGTGTGGATTCAATGAAAAATATGCGCAATCGGGAAGTCAACTTTTTTGTTATAAAATCCAAACACAAAAGCTTTTTGAAAGTTCTAACTAAAAATTGGCCTCATTTGTTCGACAAAATAGACAAAGTGGTTTTTTGAACCGGTTTTAATTTTAGACTCAAGGCCAAGGCGAACAACGTATACTAAGTCCCAAACGAAACTGCAAAGGTGGGGTATAACATTAGTTAATTTTTTCAAAATAGTTAACTCCACGAAAGGTTACGAATGCTCTACCATCAGAAAGCAATATAATAAGCATCTTACTTGCCTCTATATTTTTAAAATGTTAACCATTTTTGAATGTGCCTTTATTAAGAGTGCTTTGAAGGAATCCAAAGTCGTACAAGTCGAAAGATTGACATCCGCTAATCGATGTTTACAGTGATAAAATTAGACACTCGTGCAAAACGCAGAAAAGTAAAATTACGTTACAATCGAAGCATTGCTAGCGAATAAATGACTTTCAGTTGATTCCTTAAGGGGATAAAGAAGCGAAAGAAGGTGGGGGTAGATTCTACGGCACGCAGGCAGCACAAGGAATGCTAAAATAAGCGATGGGCCGGTGAGTATTCAGTAACAGATAAATAAGTTTTGCGTAGATAATCAGGCAACAGCGAAATTTGTGCGAGTACAGTCTGTTAGGTGTGTTAGTGCGTCTGTTGTCTGTGTTACGTCTCAGACGTCAGCGTTGAAGCCCCGGCGGGGGTCGGGAAGGGTGACAAACTCCAGATGGTTGGGGCCCATGCTGAAGGAGGTCTCGTCTTCCTGGTCACTGGCACCTTCTTCATCGTCTTCGTCAACTCTTTCCATCGTCTGGGTCATCACAGCCTCGCTCTCGTCGAAGTCGTCGACTTCTTCAAGGACAGCAGCGGCTCCCTCTTCCTCCTCTTCCTCGAAGAGACCATTGAAAGAACGCGTCTCCGCGTCGAACTGCTCGTCACGTCCACCATAGGCTCCGTGAACTCCTGGTAGACTTGGAAGGCCTTCTGACATGGTCGGCGGGGGCACAGTTGTTGGAGGTTGCCAGTTCAATCTTCCACCCTTAAAGAGAATATACGGCGTGGCACTTAAAACAAACACGTGGAACCACAGCAAGTTAGAAACAAATTATTGAATTATTGAACGCCAGTTCATGGAAGCCCTAGATCGAATACATCACTGTGATCCCACCAAGACCGCAACATCGACAAAACCCCTGAAATACCCTTTTCAAAAAACAATATTTATGACACTGAGAAACATTTAAGTACTCAATCTGTGATGCTGTTTTTTGCGTAAACCAACTGGTAAATGGTTAGTGAAAGTGCCGTTGCATAACTGAGTGGAAGTATTCAAAGGCCTGTCATTCATGTGTTGTGCCGAACTGACAGAGAGGATGTTTTGATCCTATAACCAAACCAAATTCACCAATCAAAAGAGTCGTTGAAAAATGCGGCGACTATAAGCCTTTAATTTAAAATGGACAAAGTTTGAGGGAAATAGATCGATGTGCGCTTCCGGATGGATGGGCTTTTCAATCAGTGGACAACTCTACTCATTAGTAATGGTCGTACAAATGAGAGTCCAGATTCGGCACACATACGAAATAGTTCTCCTTGCCAGTTAATGCCCTACTGGAACTATTGACGCCAAAGACATGAAACGGAAAGCACGGATTATAAGCCCTTGGTGTACGGACACGAGATTTGGACATGGAATTAGCGGGAACACGTTAGGAGCGAACCCAATTGATCAAAGATAGCTCAAGCCGCCGCTTACAATGCGTTCTCAACGTCTCCTAATGCTTTTGCAGATGGTTTAGCGAATATAACGAACAATCTGTGGTTGTAGTACACTATAAAACGAACATTCGCGCACACACGCATGTCTGAAAGCAAAAGTAAAGAGGTTTTTGCAAAGAGAGTGCGTGAGTCACTGTCACGGTGTCCCAGAGAACGCTTTCACACGCACACACACCACGACAGAACCAACGAATCATCTCTGTGTGACTGCACACGCAAATACGAAATGACCCTAGGTAATCTCACACGCACACGTGCATAGCCCTGCCCTCATGCACCGACTGTTCTCCAATATATGAAGATGAGTGCCTCAGGTACAACACCCGCCTTTGTGCTAAATGTGAGAGGAAAGCGAGAAAGCGGTTGCCTAATTCCCCTAATAAAATTCACTCGACCTGACTCGGCAAGTAGACAATACTGATTGCAACTCTCTTATATCGTGGGAAACCAGCATATCGACCGAGTTCAATGTCGAAGTGGTTCGGAGGGGACAAGCAAACCTGTTTTCTTCATTCCCGCAACCAGATCGTTGGGAGAAATTGGAATTGACACAGCAGTACCAAGTAAAACCGACGTGGCCGGAAATCTAAATGAGGTTTTATTTAATCAGGAGTGTAGAAGCCTTGTCTTCGACGTTTAGCACAACTGACATTCCGTGAGAAGCAATTCGACAATTCATAGTTCAACAAGAGCAGTAAACTTCCAGCGTACTGTGTGTGTGTCAATTAAAATTAGCAAACATTTATTACACAAACAAAACTTGACTGACAGCCATGTAATTGGCAGAAGCCCATGGCCAAAATCTCACCTCTAGATTCTCAATGGGGTTTTCGATGACATTGAGCCGTGCCTCGGGACGGAACTGGATGCGACCGGTGCCCTTGCGATCCACACGTCTGAAGAAGCTCAACTGGCCTCGACGGAAGCCCGTGGACTTGGTTATGAAGAAGGCCAAAATGATGATGACCACCGCCAAGCCTCCAACGCCGAGACCAACTGCCAGACCGAAGTTATTCACCTTCGACGGGCCACCTTCCTGTCGCCAAAAAACACGTCTTTAGTTTAAGGGCGGCGTGGTAGCATGGGAAAGCAGTGTCGTGTGCTTTGAATTTCTTAACAGTTTCACAAACGGGACCTGCGACCCAGTAAGCGATCAGTGGGAACAGGACAATATAACAATGTTATGCTGCAAAGAGTACATCATTGGTATCGATATTTTCGAGCTGGATCGCCTACTGAATTAACTGATCGCTTTCACGCGAATTGATAGAGAAAGTAGGCCTTCTTTCAACGTCACTAGAAAACATATCCGAATAAGGAAAATGAAGTATACGACCTAAGTTTCATTAGGATAAACGTAGGTCGCTAGAGACATAATGCGTGGTCTTGAAAGGATGACATGACCACCGGGTAATTTATGAGTTCGGGATTCATAACAAAGAGAGAACTTCAATTGGTGCTGGCAAATAAATATCAAATTTCCTTGCAAAGCACATCAAGAAGCTTTTAATTGAGCCTTGACAGAACATATAAAGACTGAGTGTGAACTAGCACAGTTTATGGAGCATTCACGTGCACCACCGCATTCATTAATTAATTACGAGGCTGCATGATGTAAGATGCCATATTTGTTGGTAATCAAAACGAAATTCGGCACTAATCACAAACTTGATTCTTAAAACACCAGGAAATATTACAAAATCTGTTGAGGCAAGGTCAGGCTAATGTGGAAGATGAAGCAGTACGCTCTACGCTAGAATGTCTAGTGTCCTGAATTTTTTAACGTGAAGCGTAGTGCTGAAATCTGGAGCTTCACTAGGCCTCAGAGGCCTGTGGCTTAATCCACCACCATGACTTGACCAAGAACACAACGTTAGAGTTTCGTCGAATGTCCCTCCACGACGTCGATGACACAGAAGGTTCAGTTAAACTAGAACAGGAGAACGTTTTACCAACAGTAACTGAATGGGCAACACGGTGTTTAAACAAACATCGTGCGAAAAGTCAAGACGAGAGTGGAAATTTCTAGATGTTAGTCGACGAAATAAATCCCACCCAACATCCATAGAGGCAGGTGGGCTGGTGAATTCGACTTTTAGTGGACAGACACACCGACATTGTCTCTATTTACCGCAGAATATATGTGAAAATCCACCATTTCTTTGCGAGAATTGCATAAAAAAGGAAAGGCCGCGTGTGGAAACATCTGCAGCGGTGATGTGGACCTGAATCTGGACTAGTGTCTGGTGAGGTGAGTCACCGAAAGTGGTCGAATACTTAAAATCGGGAGGATGTTTTCTTCCAATTTCTGACAGAACAGTCCAACGGTAAAAGACACACATGGTGGCTGCAGGTGCTGTGAGTGGTGTGTGTGTGTGTGTGAAGTTGGGAGTGAGAAGCAGAAAAGGGCAGAAATCTGAAGTGACAACAGGTGCAAGAACATCCCGGTGTGGAATAGGGTGAAATAGTAAGGCAACTTCGACCTAGAGCAGACACCGCTTCTTAATTGTAAGCAGGGAGCGCAGAAGAGGGTGGGGCTTGGACAGAAACCCTATTTTTAAGGCGATAAAATTTCGGGAATGATTAGCGGGAGGGCTCAATCAGAAGCTGAGTGGTCTTCGTGGGACAGAGTATTTTAATCAACTCAATTTCAGGTTTCATACCACAAAATTTCACTCCCTGTACAGAAGGGAGTGGAACCTTTCCATTAGCGAAGTGCCTTCTCACATTCCAGACTATCTAGCACCCATGCATTGGCACAAAATTAAACTAGTTAAGACACATTTTGCAATGGCAGAATTCCATGCCGTGTGTGAATTCACATTGCGAAGATAAGAAGCCTTAAAAATTGGTTTTGATAGCTGGCCCCAGAATGATCCACAGATGACAACCACGGCTACACGGCTACGATCGCACTTGGTAAGATGGGCCAAAATGAGCTAACGCAGTAGGCATTGGAAAAATTTGCGAATTCCAATTTTGGAATTGCATTCCAAGCTATTACGTTCCTCTGGGAGATTCTTCGAGTCTTGATGCTGTTCAATAAACAAGTAAAAAACCTCAGAGGCGTGGAAATGCATGTCTCCAGCTTTGTTGGGTCCCGTTTTGACTGAGTGGATAACCAAAGAAGGTTAACGATGTAATTTAAAAAGAAACCTGAAACTCTTCTTCTTCTTCTGACTACCATATCCAGTTGGTGGTTGATTTGTTGCACACAAATTAGCCCAGCGCACGTAAAACACATTCATTGAAATCGACCCAACCTCGAACAGACACGAAACCATTGAAACAATTAAATCCAACAGGTTACCAGCAGAGCAAAACCTACAACCTGAAAAGTTTACTTAAGTTTTATACGTGAAACCACACCCACAGAAAAGGAGCCATCGAAAACGAACCAAAATAGCTAGGGGAGAACGCTGCTAGTAGTTGAAGCAATAGATATTCCCGCTTCAGGTCAACCAAATTTGGAATGTCGAGAAATTTTGCAATCTAGCTGAAACATTCTGCCGGTGGTCTGTCGCGACATAAATCCACATCGTGGAGGCAAGGTTTCGAAGTCTAAAAATGACTAGACACTAACAGGTAAAATTCGAAAGCGGTGATTGAAGGTTCGGATTTCTCGGTAACTTTCCATAAAATGGATCTTTCGACCACCAACGTCTTCAAATTATGGCTTGATCAGATTCGCTTTATTCCACTGCAGCGATTTTCGTGGGTTCTTCGGCTACCCTATGTCGAAACACCTGGAAGCCATCAACTTCAATTACAAACTAACAGTTAATTAATGATTGATCAAACGCGAAACATTCAAACGGACAGGCCGGGTACGCTGTTGACTGAAAACCAGGGACAAGGTTGATCGCTGAGAGACTAACCTCAAGCTTTTGCTTCTTTTGGAGACGAAGAGAGTCACCCGACCGCACCTCTTTGTCTGAATGCGCAAATTGCGCCACGCCCATTGCGGACTTGTACGCTGGGGAAGGGTCCAGGCGTTTGACTGTGCCTGGGGCAAAAAAAGCACAATGCAACACAACAGACAAGAAAGTCGACAACTTAGCATGAGTAGTGAGCGCTTTTGATCTTGTAAGTGACAGTAAGCAGAGGCAAACCAGGTGATTCTCATCCATACCCGAAGGAGGAGGCCACTGTCCAGTCTCAGCGGCGCTGGGGTCGTCACCTTGCATCATTTCATCGTCCTCCTCGTCGAAGTCTTCGTCGTCATCATCGTCATCGTAGGGATTGTCCAAGTAGTTGTCGTTGACAAGTGAGGTGTCATCACGCGAGCTATCCGAATAGACAACGCCCTTGCCTGCTCGGGTCTCGGCCGCAATCACTGGCGAGCTTAAGAGGATCTGAACATTCAAAAAGAGAGATGATTTAAACTGTAACACGAATTTTGCAAAAAACGGTGCAACATTTGTTTAGAACTTTAAAGCGGATTTCACCACTGGCAGAATGTAGGAGTCATAGACCAGGTGAAGTGGGTTAAGAGCGAGAAGGATTAGTTATTCCCAAGCTAAAATATTCTTCAATTTGACTTTTATTGCGAACTAATTTATGACTGCAAAAAACACTTAAGAAAACGGAGCTTTCGAAATACGCTCTTGTTAAAGTGTATGATTCAGGGAAAAACGCAAACCCAACAATGGCTAGAAAGTTGTTTCAGGTAGAAATAAATCTAATCGTTGGTTCAAATTTAAAAATTTTGTTATAATTGCATTAGTGCGGTTTGAGAAACCCTGTAAAATATGAATGGGTGCTCTTCACCAAGCCTAGACCCATCAATCAAGGCCTTACGCCCAGGTAACACTCTGAGAAAATGTCACAGCTTAAACCTACGACCTCTTGGAAGCTGTTGTCGTACATGGAGTATCCATAGCCCAGCAGCCTTGTAGTGGCACACAGCAAAGACTACAAAACTCCTTTTTTTAAAAACTTTCATTACCTACATTATCGACCTTAAATAAAAACTCGAAACCGGATTATCGTGAAGAGCTAGTTTAAAGTTGTAAATCTGAAACAGCAAACCCGAAAGCATGCGACATTTGAGCACAACTAGCTCACGAATGTACAGGAGGGACGCGTTTATTTAAGTATATTGGAAGTTTCACAGACTGGACAAGCATGGACCATGGTAAAATGCCTTTGTTCTTGGTCAGCAAATCAGGTGAATTTAGAATTATTGTGATTAGAGTACACCGCAGGTATGCGTGGTTCGAAACGAGATTTAAGCTTTTGGACGTTGAAGTCATCTGGACACACAGTTCAACCAGTAATATTCAAGAGCCCAATAAAGTAGCAGTCATCTTCATTCACCCACCCACCAGTTACCTATGAAACCATAAGTAAACAAAAACTTCACATTGATTAAATGTGGTAGAAATTGTACACATCTCGACTACAAATAAATCCACACAGTTCACAGTTGCTTTGAGAAGCGACCGTAATTGGTACCGCTGTTGGAATCGGAATGAAGGTGAATTTTGAAGGCTTAACATTTGCGTAAAAGGGTCCTTCTGTCGGAACGAAAATTGACCAATAACATGCTAGGTAGGGCATATCTTAGCCTACATTTCACAGTTGCCTCGGGTTTTGATGAATCACTGCATAGAAACATCGAAATGGCGTAGTTTTGAAATTTCAGTTTGGTAAACAAAGAAGGAATAACTGTTTACACTCCCCTCAGATAAGAGTAAGAGAAGCGGACAACTTGGCAGGCGCTGACTAGTAAATTGACACCCACCTGAACTGTGAATGGGTCGGTGTTGTATCCAGCATCATTGTAAGAGCAAATGAGCTGGAATTTCCTCTCCATTAAGAGACCAGAAGCCAGACTCATATCATTGGTGCGTTTCTCGATTTCGATTGGTGGCCAGTAGCGGAAACCATGGAGCAGGCTTGCGTATTGATTGGCTGTCTGGCGACCTTTGAGAAGCACTCCCATTTGTGTGGGCTCAACTGCCACCCCCAACTCGAAGGCACGACCGGCGGGCCAGACGATGCGCTCGCCGTCATTGAAGTCGAGGCCGCTTCCGTTTACGGGCAGAACCAGGCATTGATCCAGCACAAACATTGCAGCTGACCTCGCTACGGATTTCGCATAAACTAAAGAGACAAGTGAACATGTAAAAATGCATAAGAGTGTAGCGGATTAACAGCGATTGTGCCTAAGTGAACCCTGGTTAACGACTTGACAGTGACAATGACTCATCCCCTTTTCATTGGTTACTGTATCAGATACCTGTCATCCGTTCACTCATCCATACACTAAGACACACTTGGCTGGCGTGACGCTAAGAGACGGTCGTGTCCTCTGTCGCCTCTTTTTCCACTCTTTTCGGGTTGTTACGGGCTGTTAACTAGAGGGTTGTAAGGTAGTGCTAGACCCTAGCCACTACAAGAGGCGGAGGAAAAGGACGCTACAACGGCAATTAATTATCCCATTTCTTTTGCTATTGTTTTATATCGTGCACTCAACTTCTTTTAAACTACAATTAATGTTCGCTTTTTAACACTTGATGGATCAAAGATAATCAGATCACGAAGCTGATCTAGACAGATTGGCTACATTTGCTTCCCATCGTAAATCTAGGTTGCAAGAACAGTGTATACCAATAAATTGCTAAGACTCTAAGCACAAAATTGGGATACTTTTCCAAAGCAAGCATGCCGTGATTTCACAACCACATTCAAATTAAAGGATCGTACATTGCTGCGATGTTTGAATTTTCATTAGACAGGACGACAAACTGCATTGTCTCTGGGGAAATCTGAAAAAAGTCTTAAACAATGCCCGTTTTATGGCATAGTTACAATGATCTGAATAACATTCTGGTAATTTTTGCGTCGACGTCTACTCAACATCGATTATACAAAAACACGGAGATTTCTACCGTAAATGGTATTGGTCAATTAATTTTTTCTGTTATTGAAGCCTTTTTCCGAAAGTTTTCGCGAATTGGCATATTTTTTAATCAAGACTTCAACCAGTAATCAACTAAAAATCCCCAAACAACAAAAATGCTACAGCTACATACTAAACGAGTCGACTGATTTGAAGAACCCTCTAGTAGCTAGATTGGATAGATAGTGTTGTCAGTGGCAGAAGCGTGTAGTGAGTGCTTGATGGCGTATGGATGCTGTTTGATCCGCTTGCCTTTGACATAATAAGTTATGAAGAAATGTGGCAAGTACCCTGGAGGGTTACCCCACTAAAATTGACAAGGTACTACGCTCTAGCCGCCACCTCAAATCAAGTTATAATCGGTGCTTCTGGCCCTTCAACGTCCACAACGCTAGCGGCTATCAAACACTACTTTTTCGGTAGTTAAGTGTGGTGCCTGCTTCTGGCACTGACCGCTCTTTCTACTCCTTCTGAATCGGAACAAAATTTGTCTCCGTGTGTGATAATCCAAAGCGAATCTGGCTTTTGCAAAGTTCGATTTTATTGATCGTGGAATGCAATGTCACTGTGCATCAGGCAACAAGCGATCTGGACAGTAAACAGGTTTTTCACGGAAAAGGGTTAGCAGAAGTAGGCACGGATAGCTGCAAGACATCAGCAATACCCTTTAGCATTTCCTTCATATTTTAACGGTTCAGGTATGCGTCAGCTGAACCACTGCACGGTGTCCTGTCCATTGTTTGTCAAGTTAAGCAGCCTTACCTCCAGTCCGTCAATTGAGCAGTCAGGACAAGCTACTAACTTCTCACACCAATATCTCCCTCCCTAATATTGGCCACAGGGTGAATGTGAAGACGGTAAGACATAAAAATATGGGCCACTTGACACTGTCGATGTCTTCTGTCTACTTGAAATAACACGGAAGGCAGAGTTTTAGTGTGAATACGCAAGGGAGTTGTAAACAGAAGAGACTAGAGCTAGGTAGTGTCCTAAGAATAGTGACTCGTACATTTGACGGCGTTGCTCGGTAGATAGCCTACACTTCGACTGTCTCCCCCTGAAAAATTACTTGGTTATTAAAGCCCAGTCATTTAAAACGCAAACCAAACATACAAGGCACATTGCTGAATGTGAACTCCAAGGCCGGGAACATAGTGATTCCTGGTTCGAAGACCGGGATGTTGGCGCGAATGACGTCTTGTCCGAGGATGGAAAGAACAAGAGCCGTTGGAGCCTGTGGCTTGAGTTGCGGGGGAACACGCATCTCATTCTTGGGCATCCACGCCGAAGCATCAGGTGCTTCCGCAATTGCCGAGTCTCCAAGGTCCGAATATGAGCCCTGCAGAATGAGAGCAATCTTTTCTGTCGTAATGTTTCCAAGCTGTCGTCCACCGCATCTAAAGAAGGGCAAATGTCAAGGTAGTTTTTGTTTGAAATTAGACTAACAAACACAGAAAAATGGCAGCATTTACGACAAATTGATTTAATCCTTAGGAGAAATCTGACATTAATGACTAGATAATAAGTTTCGAGCCAAACATTCGGTCCGTGTGTTATGTGCAGCACTCATATAACAAATGCCATGGAAACGCAGGAACTAGAGCGACTGATCAGTGTTTGTGGAATAAGGAAATGTGGTCGTGTGTCCCATTGCATCGTGTCCAATGCACATGGTAGATGAAAAAAATGCTGTTTTTTAAGGTCATGGGAACAAGGTTGGAAACGGAGGGACACACAGTTGGTGCTGCTTGTGGCAAAATTAAAGGAATAAAATGGCATCAGAGGCTGGTCGCAATCCAGTATCCTAACAAAAGGGCAACACACTTAATCAAACTAACAACCACCATCGAGAGCTTTGTTTAAGTGAAATCAATGCGGTTTAGCATAACTTCTGTGGCCTTGAGCACACTGAGGTTAGTTTGCGTTTCGGAAATTCCTTTTTCACAGTTCAAAGCGTAACTAGGCAGAGGATTGAAACTCAGACAATAAACCTATGAGCAGGGAAACCAAAGTGTCGACGCAGAAGATCCTCATCGAGGTTTTTAACAGCACGAGAAGACATACACGCGAGATATTTGGACGGTTCTGTTTACTTCGTTATTTGGTACTACTTGAGAAGGTGAATTTCACAAGCACAAAGAAGCCCAGTACAAGCGGTAATCAAGAGTTTCTCCTAATCTCCGAGTAAAATTTTTCTCTCAAAATTTGATTTAACCTACCGATAAGTGGTAGATAATTCAAGCACGCGATCATTTGATCCCGCTGGCTCATAAGTCAGTTGTGTGCTAGTTGACTCCGGTTTCACATAGGCCACGTTGCTAAGAAGCGCAGCTGCTTCTGCGCTTGTAGCTGACTCAATCACAATGTTGTCGCTGTTGAGAATGACGTTCACATTGTCAGTAATCAGCTGAAATTTAAAAAAAAAAGGAAATTATCGAGATAATATGTGACCATGAAGCGCATTTCCTGTGTCCACTCGCACAGAAAAGGGACTGCAATGGGCTAAGGGCATTTTGGGGAATCATAATGGTTGTCATTAATACACGTTCTTTCTTGATAGGTTATTGTGTTATTTTCACCAATCACATTTAGTCTATCCCGAGCTGAGCGTGAGTCACTGGCAAAGTCAAACTACTCGGCGTTACCATGACGGAATCTAGTCACACTGGGACCCGCGAGTAGGCGATTTATGATTGAAGACGACGAGTGAGGTTTTACTTAAAATGCCTTTTAAATTGACAAGAGTGTCAGATTAAGCTACTTGCAAAAGGGCAAGAACAAAGGAAAAATCTTGAATACAAAACCCGAGGTCACGCAAATCATACATTAATAACCAGGCAAGATTGGTGGTGCCTAAAAAGTGCGCGGATGAGGTCACATCCAGGCAATAGAGGCATCACAGAAAATGCAAATCCACACCTGCAATCGAGTTTATTCCTACAAAAATTAACTTCGACACGAAAATAGGGCATAGGGCTGTAAAAACAACTGGCACGCATTTAATCACGCTGTAGGAACTAGCATGTCAGTGCATGCTATCCGATCTGCTGGGGTTTATCTGGCGTTGACTAAGAAATTTTGAGTAATGGGCATTCACTGATCAATCTGTTCAGACGGAAACACCAATGGATAAATGAGTGCGCGAAGCAGCCGTATATCGTAAATATCGCCACGTTATTAGTCACCACCTGTGGGAATTCAAAGGCATGCAAGCGGAAATGCCCGTAATTAACCCTGTGAGTTGAGACATTGGGGGTAGACATCATTTTATTTAAGAAAAACAGCGTAACCGCTGCAGCTAAAGGTTTAAAATTCAAAAAAAGTGACTCAAAATGCGCTTTGTAGAACAGTTCAATTAAGGAAAATGGTGTCTGCGCGCTGATTCGTTGTAGGTGAACAAATGAGAAACGAACTCTATTTCCATTTTCAAAACGCGTGGCGTTGGAATTTGCCAGAGAGAAATAAATTATCGCGCCTATGAACAAGCACCAGCAAAGGCTTTCAAATATGTGGCATCATGTTTAACACCTATAACATCAGCCAGTTCATAATACTGACGCTCACAGACTTAGGAGAGTTCATTGTTTTGTGTGGGTTCAAAAGGAAATCGTCAAATTAGCCGAGTATGGGTTACCACCCCAACTGTCAACATAACCAGGATGCATCAATTGGTCCATTAAACCACAAAGCCTCAGCGAAATAGGAGCTCAGAAAACGTCTTGTCACTTTGCGTGAAAGTTGTGCATGCCATGGTATGGAACAGGTTTATCATCACGATTTGGTGAGGCCGTTTACTGGGTTGAAAAATCTATAAACAATTTGAGTAGAGAAACAGCCACACACATTGCGCAGGCTAAATAGGCGGATTGGTACTGAGAAATCTCGCATGTGATTGGCCCACATGATTTATAAAATGCATAGCTAGACATTAAGGAGGTGAGTTCTTGTGATCAAGCAGCGACCACATTGGTGTTCCAGATAGCGCCCAACCACGAATCGCCTTTTGGGCAGAAATCGGATGAGAGATATCGTGGGTTTTCGGTGCTAAACGATCTAGGCTGCAACACACACGCACAGAAATGTACTCACACTGCTTGCGCGTGGAATGAGAAGAGTTTCCCCGCACTCCGCTAAACAACGCGAGACACTCTGGTCCTCGTTCCTGCCCAGAAGCAGCGTCATTCCGGCGATGGCGCCATTAAGAGACTGCTGAGAGCCCGGCACACTCGGATCGTAGCACGTTCCGACGGTAATACTGAAATTCGAGCACAATTGTACTACGTAAATGTTACTGCACCACTTTCATGACAATTTCCTTTGGGTTTTGTATGTTCAGAATTAAAAAAAGACACAATTGACACACGGAGTGTAAACTTTATTGTCAATCGCACGCCAAAATGATACAGCAAATGCAACCGAGGAAGACACAGGCAAGATTCGTATTCTAATCAGCCAAGTGACTGGAAGATACCTAATTTTGTAACTCATTAAACGACAGTGTTAATGACTAAACACGGTGTCTTTGTGCCTACTCGCCTAACTTAACGGTCAATTTCGGAAAGCGGGATCGCGTACTGCTACCCTTCCATCCAGAAAATTATTTTACCTGTCCATTTCAGGAAACTGGGGCTACGAAATTAGCGAAATGAGGCAAGTGGAGACAGTGATTAGGGACTTCGATAACACGTAATCAGATGCATATGGAACCAGCACATCATTACAACATCAGGAAAGCCTTAGCAGTAAGTGAAAACTACACACCCAGCTGCGAGAATCTCACGTGAATAATGCAAACTGAATCAACGCGTTATGCGATTGGCTCCAAGTTGACGTCACTAGCACCGATAGGGTACAATGCAAAATCAGAAGACCGATAGTTTATTAAGTAGACTTTACAGATCATTACCGTTTTCACGTCGAATTTTTAAATTTCTGCATATTTTCACTTGTTTTCGCCTTAAATTTGGATGACATGCCTCGAGTCGTTTTTGATGTGCGTATCAGTCCTAACGGTTGACTATGATCGAGAAAATCTACACTAATTTCCCTAATTTCCTTCAAATCTTGTTTATGACTTGGTGAATGATCTCTGTAGGCCATCGTCAAAGCACAACTGACAAGTCCAATTAACTAGTTTTGATCTGGACAAAAAATTTTTGGATCTGTTAGGATCGGTCAGTGGGCAATGATGGTTACATACAAGTGCAACCGCGTGCACGCGGATCTGGCCTAAATGATACACGAAATATGCATGTACGGTTGCCCGATTTCTTTCCTATTAAGAAGTGTGTCAAGGCAAAAAACATTAGCCTAAAATACAGTCTAATTCCGCTTTCGTACGGTCATTAAGAAACCTATTTTTCAGCATCTTCATTAAGCGTCGTTTTACTCAATCAGAATTCGCTGTTCGTGTGCGTGTTTAAACATTGAAGCAACCTAAAACTAGCTTGGTTAGGACAAAAAACAGCATTTCTGTTTGAAGTAAGAGGTAAAGCGCCAACAGGCTGCCCTAAAACCCAAAGGATCTCCTAGGAGCCTAAATTTTCCTTAGCAAATTCTTTCATCTTCTTGCGACTTCGAACACAGGCATATCTCAAATTGGAATGCCCTGGATTCAAGGTTGTATTATCTGAAAGCTCAACCACACGTTAACTTAAGTAGCTTTCGTGGTAGACGTACAGTTGGTATTACTCAGAAGTTGATGTTTTCCAATACATGAAGCGTAATTTGAACTATCTGGGACTCAGTTACCCTATTTTCAGGCCCTGAGTGCTTTTGATGTGAAAATAAACGGATACAAGAAACTCACAACTGCGAGAAGAACTCAGAAGATTGACGTTTGACTAAAATAGTATCCCCAAACTGCTCCAAAGTGCCTACGGACTCGCCGTCAACCATTAGAGTGCTGGCAGTGGGTTCGACTGTTTCGGGGTCAATAGTGATGGAAATGGAGTAGTGATGCCAGGGCTGGCTGCCCTCAGTGAGACCATCGGGATTACAGACCGAGGGCGGTAGCCTAGGGAAAAAGTATGTGCGGAAGACCTTGTCGATGAGAGGCTGGTTGGTTTGCGGATTGCGAGTGATCATCTGGACCATAATTCTGCAGCCCTTTAGGCTTATCCATAGCGCCCGTCCGACGGTGGCTAAAGGGGAGGAAAGTGAACAACTTGGAACATGCGATTGACAGTTTGCAGGCCTCTGATCCAGCGTGTGGAGCTCCACTTTGGTGGAAAATCTGATGTGCCTGAGGTCAGGCGAGCACAATCTAGCGAAGAGATTGGCAGCATTTACAAGGGCGTGGGACAGACAATTGTTCCACGCCCTTGTAAATGCTGCTGACAACAGTTCTTCTCACAAAACGCTCTCAATTCTGAGCCACAGATTGCTGCTGAGATCAAAGTTGAAGGCAGTGGTTATTGAGTACACAGAGTTGCATTATTGTGAACTGCTACGCATTAAGATTGGTGAGTTCTTTGAACAAGCTTTCTGTAAACTCAAAGTAAACAGCAGGATCTTCTATCGCCTTGCTGTAAATGATTATTTTAACAATTTATAAAGTTAGAAATTGAGCATTACTCTGAGGGAACTAATTGTAGTTAGGCTTTGAAGGTAATGTGTTAGATAAGACTGATTCGCAAATATTGCACCTCAGGGAAAAGTTGGATATGCCAACCTTGTATAAACCGTAACCCAGACAAACAAACGGCAAGTAATAATTGGTAAAAATTATAAAAAAAATGTTACAAGTAAACGGCACACTTTGCTGTTTGGATTCGGTTTAGGCTACTAGTAGGCAGTTTTTCAATCAAGGATGGAAGTACAAGAACAATACGAATTTAAATCTACTTGGGAAAGTTAATTTGAATTTCCCACAATGATTATTATCCTGAAAAGGTAACATGATTTACACCTTGGAATATTCCCCCGATGATTGAAATGGTCCTTTTTCCAATTAACAATGTGCAAAAGATATCAACCAAACCATGGATTAATATTTTGTGAGTAGTATAAAGTTCTACAAACCATTACAAAGGGCCTGATCGAACTTTGAGCACGTACATTCATTACAAAAAAAGTGTTTTTTTAAATACTGGCGACAAATTTAAGCTAATAATGAAGCTTAACAGGTGCTTAATTTAGCTAATTTCTTGCCCAAATAATAAACGTTAAAAATTATGTTCGATGAACAAAATGGGTGAAGCAAGGCATTCTTTCCAAATTAATCGTCTTTTTTAATCGAAAGAGTATGAATCTGGTATTTACAGATTCAATACATTCGAAGTATTTAACATAATACACACAACCAAAATAGTGTTTGATATTTGGATTGAATAACTATTATAATACTACGCTCCTAGGTAAATCTAAACCCAGTAGACATTTCACCGTTTGCTTAATTAATTTTACAGAGAAAGGTTGACTTAAAAAAATTGGCATTGCCACAATCTACTGGTTAGATTGAATGAAATGGCATTTGGTAGTGGATGAGTGTAAGCTAATGTCATATCGATTCAAAGGCCTTACAAACCAGACATTTGATGTAAATTAGTCGTTGATGCCGACACATCGTAATCATGTATTCACATAACAACCGTAGTGACGCCTTCCAAGTTTGAAGCCCGTGAATAGAAAGGGCAGAGAACTGGAGACGTAACAAGGATATCTGATTTCCAAACACAAAATTTTAAACACTTTGCGATATAAAACTCATCACGTGGTCAAGCAAACTTCAAACCACTCAACAGTTCGAAAATGGAAGAGGATCGAAGCCATCCGAAGTCAGCAGGAAACATATGAAGACAGTGGGATTTGATCGGAATCTGGCAATCACCTGGCATGTTTTACCAGAAGAACGGGAAATAATTGTGGCTAACATCTGCCACAATTTTGGTCGATAGCCCCTAGTTACCATTTTTTTGGAAATTGTGCAATGGTTGCCTCAACAGTGCTGAAATTACGGTTGCCATAAACTAAGTTGTCAATCGAAGGTATGCTTTGGTGGTGGCATTCCAATGGAATGCTTCAAATCAAGCTTATTCAAATTGCACAAAGATTTCGGAATTTTAAGCTACCATTTCTCAAGGTCTTCTGATTACATAAACCGAAATCCATTAAAATTTAATCTTCTCCAGCACACAAAATGTTTGACTTCGTGTCAAATGAGCTACGCAAAAACCAACTGCATTCGCAAAGCAAAAAATCGTATGTTCTCTGATTTCAGCATTTCCTAAGTCCCGTTCTGCTTTCCATTTCTCGATGCAAGGTTAATTTCCCTCATTGGGGCTGAAACATATAAAGCTTGTGGGGTTAAATTTAGACTTTATGTTCATTCTATTCTGTGAATTTCGGATTATACTTGGCGTGCCCCATTGACCTGATACCATTATAATGCACCCGGCCTAGACAAATTTTGAGGGCAAATGAAAGAAGGCAAAGAGAAGTCTGCGGTCTGTGAGCGGACATCCCAATCAGGCATTTGATGCAATAGAGCAAAAACTGACGAACAAACAGTCAGGACATTTTGCATGACGACAACTAGAATAAAGCACTTTCCTGCGAGGTATGGATCTGTTCAAATTAGTCAAATTACGACCGTCTTATTAGTACGTGTTACCAATCCCAAGGCAGTTAATAAGTGACACGCATTGACTGGGACAATTTTTCAGATAACATTGCAGTTTACACTATTACCGAATACAAAATTACTTTATTCCCGACGTCCTTATAGCAAAAAAGTAAAGAAATTGGCAAGACTAAGACAATCCAGTGCGGTTTCAATGGCCTATAAACAGTTTGTTTCTTATTTGTCGAGGATACAACTTGGGACGTCACAGTGGTTATTTGAAGGTTAGACATGAATGAATTAAACAACCGACTTATTCAACCAGGTATTAAAGACGAATCCTTATCCAATTAATCATCTTGATAATATATTAGCTTTGCAGTATGGATTGTGATTACCTATTACCAAGCTGACTTTTACTGACAAGGGGAGATTAAGTAGGTCCGGAATTGACTGCTTTGAACTTTATCAAAAAGTCAATGATTTTTAAACAGCTTAGCATAATCAGACGAGCGGTCTTAAGAAGGAGTAGCCACCACGTGCCTAGCGAAAAGGTTCACTTCAAGTTAACCTCAGGCCTGGATGCGAACAAGCAAAAAAAACTACGAGACCATGCGCACACGAGAACTTACTTTGGCACACGAAAGAATATGCTCATGTAGAGAAAGGATGCCTGGCCCTAAGCAGCCGGCTGCACACACACACACGCTGTGCACAGTCATTGTGCATCGTGTCGGCAAGGCACCGTGTTTTAATGTGGTTTAGTTTAGGCGCTATTGTATAAGAAATAGCATTTACACCTGCCCAATCAGGTTACTGACCCCATTAACAATTGGGAGTTGAAGGACAATTCTCAGCTAGCAAAGGCATCTACTCTAATGACACTAACGATAGCGAACGGTGGTATCCAAAGGATAAGACTTCGATGAATCGGGTTGAGAGGGAGTGTGAACAGTCGGCGTCGTTGGATGGGATATCTACTTGAATGGAGAACTGTAATGTTGTGGCAGCCGTAAAAGCGATTGGCTTTAAGGACACGTAGAATACAACATCGGTTTAGTGAGTGTCAATCAATCAGTGCTACCGGACCTCGGATTGGAGGAAGTTGGGGTTTGCATAATGGACACATACTATGTTACGAAAAATCCATTCATACAGTTAGAAACGGAAGTTTCAGTACCAATCAAAGGTTGTTAACGCTGACTAAAGACATCGTCTTGACTGAAACACTGGTGACGCCCTGTTCCGCAGTAATGTAGCGCCGCAATTCTTTTTCACAAGCTGCATCCGTCTTGCATTCCCTTACCTAATATATTAACAGAGCCCTTTTTAAGCACAAATTAAACTGACTTCAATGAAATGCTACTAGGTTTAAGGCAACAACAAAAGCAGGTAAACTGGGGGAAAATTTATGGGAGAACTGGGTGTATTAAACACCGAAAAATATTGAACTTATAATGAGAGGTGCTGTGAGAAGTTCTAGAATCCATTGAAATTTTTTGACTTAGACTTTCTAGGTGTAAGTTTAGCGTTTTGAAGACTCGTTCTACTACGAGTGTTAGTTACTTGATAATGCGTTGTTTTTGCAAGACTAACCCGGAGAAAATTTGGCAGAAAATTACTATAAATGACAACTGGAGAGTGGATATCAGGTAATCGCATAAAGCATTAAATGCTTTTTATGCATTACGATATCTATATAGTCTGATGAAACTTTAACTCACCGGTGTCTTCCTGACTGCACAGAATAGACTCGTGATCGTCGTCGTTTTTAGGCTCACGTTGGAGCCAGAAGGAAAGGGTGAAGTCTCTCTCGAAGAGATTGCTAGGTATAATCTTAGGTCTGGGAAACATTCCGCCCATCACCTGGTCCTGAGCGGCTTTCGCGGCTGCCAGCAGTCTGGGCGTGTCCAGACGCCAGCCAGTCCCAACCGCAGAGGAGAATCGGAGTGCCAGAGAGAGCGGAACCACTTCAGGAAGGGCACCCACAGCCGGTGAGATGTGCTGCTCCATAATGTCCTTTTTGGGGTCAGGGAGTAGGTTGACCAGCGTGAGCTCATCGATGTCTATTGATAAAGAAATTTTACGGTAGAGATTTCTCGATAACCTTGACAGCGCAATAACAGTCCCTGATCGCTACCCGATACCAAATCTACATGATTTTTCGTCGAATCTAAACCAAAAATCCGTCTTTT